AATCTAAAAATTCTAAAGACGGAAGAATTGATTTCTTAATCAATCGCTCTATTCTCCCCCTCGAAATATGGCCTAAACGACAGTGCCATAATTTCAAAGATACATCATGTACTCTCTTCCGCTTATTTGTTGCATTCATAGATGAGGAAGCATTCTCATTCTCAGTACTTACATCATTCACATTCTCAGAAAGTGATAATAAATAAAGTTTGTCTTGTCGAAAGGCAAGACCAACACATTTATTATTATAAACAATCTAACATTTGCCGTTACCAAAATGGCAATTATATCCATTGTCATCTAAACGTGAAACACTTATGAAGCTTCTTCGCAAAGAGGGTACAAATAGAACATCTGAAAGCTTAAGTAGAAAACCATCAACTAATTCTAGAGAAAGATCTCCAATGGCTTCAACTTCAGCTTCAACTCCATTTGCAACTTTAATTCTTCTTTCTCCTCTTTGCAGGGTCCTCATCGTACGAAATCTCTATAATGAATTTGCAACATGAACAGTTACACCTGAAATAATCCACCAATAGATTTTGCACAACTTAAATACAAGGATTCATCTATGAATATAATGAAATCCTCACCTCTCTTCAAAAGGTTCTTCAGGAAGTCTGGACAGTCCCTCTGGTAGTGTCCATGCTTGTTGCACCATTTGCACTGATTCTTTTCAACTTGAGCATTGTTGTTCTTCCGATGGTGCTCAGTCTAAGGGGCTTTCCCTTGAGGTTTGATATTCTTATTGAAGTTCTTTTTTCTTGTCCTTCATAAGGTTAGCAGAGTCACCCTGTAAGGATTTCAGCCTCTCCTCTTCTTGAACACACATTGCGATGAGCTTCTCTATATCCCACTTGTCGGGCTGCATGTTGTAGTTAACAACAAAGGTTTCATATTCCTTTGGCAAGAAAGCAAAAACCAAATGAATCAGGAACTCATCCTTGAGCCCCAAATCCATTGGCTTCAGCTTCGAAGCCATGTTGCTCATCTTCAATATGTGCTCTCTGATACCGCCACCAGTATATTTCTCATTGAATAATTTCTTAATCAATGTACTGGCATAAAGCTTTGAAGAGCTAGTGAACTAACTCTCCACCTTCTTAAGATACTCCGTGGTGGTATCACAATCTGGGATAGACCCCCTTATAACATTTGAAATTGTGGACTTAGCCACCATCAAGCACTTGAAGTTTAAAATGTCCCATTTCTTGCATTCGAGATCATACTTTATCCGTACATCTGCATGATCTCGCTGACGAGTAGTGAAATCAGCATCAGACTCGTTTTCTTCCCTCACCGGGTCCACTGGCTCAGTAGGACACGGGGAGGTAAGCGCTAGGTCATTTTCAGACAGCGCAAGTGCTAGTTCATACTTCTCTCGCCATACCCTATGGTTGCCCCCTTTAAAAGGTGGTATGTGCTAGATGAATGCCATTGGGTTGAGTCCTGAAAAACACCATCAGAGATAGTGAGAAAATTATGACATCATAATTGCATGCTTTAATTTAACGTTGGTCAAAATTAAAACATACAACATTCTTATACACTAATTCTACATCACCATTGGGCAGAAATAGAATTAATACATGGAAAACTTATGAATAAACATTATAATATTGTTATTATCAACGTTGATCAGAAAAATAACAATATTATAATTTATTGACTAAAAATGACTACTCTTCAAATTAAATTCTCCCGTTGGTTCAAATTTAATTAGAAAATGATAAACTTTAACATTGCAGCGGAAACATGGAAAAATTCATTATCTATTTTTCAGAAGCATTGAATTTTTCTCAACTATTCTCTGAAAAATTATCCTGTTGGTTCAAATTTTAACAGAGATTTTAAACTAGACAAATATCATCAAAAAATTGCTTCTGAAAATAGAATAAAACTTATACTCGTAGAATACTGTTCATGTGGCCCAAGTATCAAAATGGCCTAGCTAGCTCTGCTTTCGCGCGCGCTGTGCCTTCCCAGGTCGCAACCAGGGCCTGGGCCAGCAAAGCCGCCCACCGCGCGCGCCCGCCTGGGCTAAATGTTGGCCCGTTCGCTGTCAGCCGTTCATCTGCATCGGACGGTCGAGCACGCGCGTCGGCCGAACAAAACCTCGACGCGGTGGCCACCCCTGAAACCCTATCTCATTTTGACTCCCTCCATCTCCTCTCTCGGCGCAGCAGCGGCGAGGGAAAGAGCGAGAGCGAAGAGAGGTGATGGCACCGTCACCGGCACACACGCTCCCTAGCAGGTGAGCGCGCCCTCGTCGAGCGGTCTAGACACCGGTGCCCTGATCCCCACACGTACTACAGTGAGAAGCTCCCAAAACCATAGATCTGACCGGTGCCACCGTAGGTCCCCTCGCCGGAGCGCGCGCTCCCCAGTGGGTGAGCACGCCGCCATCGAGCGGTCCTGTGACAGTGCCCTCGACCGGGCTTGCGTGCAAGGCGGTGAGCGCGGCTCAGCTTCTCCCCACGTGCCGACAAGGTAGCTGCGGAGCTCCTTCCCGCGCGCCGGTAGGAGACAACCCACACGACGGCGGTGGTGACGCGCGTCAGAAGAGTCCGGTAGGTCCTCCTCTCCTTTGTTCGATCCGTTTCTAGGGTTAGGGTGTTCTAGGGTTAGGGTTAGGGTTAGCTACTATTCTTCTTCCCCAAGGTGTCTTCGCGGATTAGGGTTAGGGTTTGAGATCCTTTTCAAAACCGACACCCTTTCTTACTTCTTTTCTTCACCTGATTTGGATTTAGGGTTCGATGAACCCTCTGTTTAGATCCAAAAACGAATCTACCACCTCCTTCTAAATGCTGCTATTTGGTTTTCTACTCCGATAAGCTAGATCTACGTCTAGTTAGGCGACTGATACCATTGATAGAAGTAGAACAGGATCACTAGCCATAGATCTAGCATGTGTACTTGTATTTGGAGTAAACATCGAGTACTAGAACATCTACCAGTATGGGATTAACAGATAGAGTGAGAGGGAGAGGGGTGGATGAAGTGCAAACCATCGGCCGCCTTCGAGGAAGATGGGCTAGCCATTGCGGCGCTTGGTGAAGACTCGGTGTAGGTGCTGTGTCGAAGGACGACGGTGCAGTGGCGGTGTTGGCCAGTGGTGGTGCTTCCCGTCACTGGCTACGCACCCTCTCTTAGATCGGATTAGGGTTGCGTCGGTGGGGTGACTGTAGCTCGTTCAACCTCGTGATCTGAGTCGCCAGCCCCACCTTTCTTTTATAGCGCAGTGTGACGGGGGCCCACCAACCATGTAGGGTTGGATGCCCCCGATCAGGGCGCTGATCCAATGTCCCAATTGGTCGTTGGGCCAATTGGATAGAGATCAACTAACATATGCCACTATGGTACTAGCACTTAGTTGTTGAAATAAGTCACTTTTCTCGTTGAGAGTGGCGCCCCAGTCTGAACACTCCTTTTTCTCTCTAGATGAGGTGTTGATAACGTTCCATCTGCTTTTAAATAGTGCGTGTATCTCAAGGAAATGTTGATGTATGCTTTTGGAATATGAAGGGGAAACCCACTATGTGTACTCAAGATCAGCTTTCTGTCTATTCTTTTTGCTTTTGAACCGACCTGTTTAGATTATGTTATTTTTTGGAATTCTAGAATTCGAATTTGGAAGGAAATGTGTGTGAGACTAATGTCTATAAAAAAACTATACTGTGAGAAAAAAGAGGCAAAATATAATTCGTAATAGTTACCAAACAGAAGAATTTGGAACTGGAATTGACGGGAACAAATTTATATTCTAGTAAAACAATAACTGAAGCCCAATTTCAACACTTAAATGCGCGTCAGTTTTTTTTTATTATTTTGGATAGGAAATGCTGTAAGCTCAAAACAAATGAGGGCAAAATTCTGAAATTGGAAGAAATTGTTAGGCCAGTTGTAAGCTTCATCATTTTGGCCCAAAGTTCCAATACTTGATATCTCTACGGAAAAAATCCGCATTACCTCCCTCAACTTTTGTGAAAGTCTGTTTTTCCTTCCTGAACTCTAAAACCAGGCAAAACATCTCCCTCAACTTTTAAAACCGTTCATCTTATCTCCCTGACCCGGTTATAAGCGGTTTTGAAGGCGGTTTTGTCTTTTTCTTTTTATTTATTTTGGCTGAATCTTTGAAAAATCATAGTAAATCACAAAAAAATCATAAAATGGAAAATACAATTTTATTAGACTCCACGTGAGTAGATCTACAGAGTGAACATATAATATGGTATGCTTCAGTACAAAGTTATTGTTGTAGCTTTAGATCTATGATTTTCTATAATTAAATGGAATAATTCATAGCTGCAGTTTCTATGGTCCAATTGTGGTGAAATTTTTATGGTGGACTAATTATTATATGCTGAAACTAGAGTAAAATTTTATACTTATTGGATCATGTATAACTTAGTACTAAAGTTAACCATATTACATGTTCACTGCGTAGATCTACTCATGCGGAGTATAACAAAATTGGATTTTCTATTTTATGATTTTTCTATGATTTATTATGATTTTTCAAATATTCAGCCAAAATAAATAAAAAAAGAAAAAGACAAAATCAACATCAAAACTACTTATAACAGGTTCAGGGAGATAAAATGAATGGTTTTAAAAGTTGAGGGAGGTGTTTTGGCTGGTTTTGGAGTTCAGGAAGGAAAAACGAACTTTCGTGAAAGTTGATGGAGGTAATGTGGACTTTTTCCTATCTCTACGGCCCTGGCTCACAAGGCCCAATTTTGGCACATAAAAGAGCATAGAGCAGAGGCGAGCGGAACTAGGAAGCGGTAGAGTAGGAACTAGGAAGATGAGAAAGGAAAGCAATCTCGCCGCCGCCGGCAAAGGCGCCGGCACTCACTCTGAGAAGTTGCACATTGCCGGCTCTTCCGCAGCAGATTTGTGGCCGCGGCAGAAATTGCCTTATCGTGGATGTGTTCACTGTTGCCACAGTTTTACCTCCACAGCTCTCATTTGGCGACAAAACTTATTTCTACTCTGGCATGCTGACAGCTCCCGTCGCATCACCAAACTCACACCTCCTACTTTGCGCATCATCGAAACAGGGTGGTCAGTGCTTCCTGCTTGATTGGCTGATCGGAAGTGATTCTTGGTCAAAACTTCGGCTCGATGATTCACGGATTGAGCAGATTGTGGAGTTCAATGGCCAGTTCATCGCAATGGACTACTACTACAAGCTATACAGTCTGTCCTTGGCCCCTCAGCTTGGTCTGCAGGAGATAGCAATTGCGTGGTGGGATGGCGAGGATGCATGCCCATATCTAAGGCCATGGATCGTGGTGTGTGATGACATGCTCCTGATGGTCGACCATTGCATAACCCTTTCGTTAGCTGGAGCACCTGTCGAGTACAAAGTCTATCGCCTCGACATGTCAACTGTGCCTGCAGCTTGGGTGGAGGTGAAGAAGCTAGAGAATTACTCGCTTTTTATTGGGTGCGATGTGAGGAGCCCTGCGTTTTCTTGCTCCAGCCTAGGACGATGGAGTGGGAGGAGTAACTGCTTGTACTACGGGTATTACGATCCACCCTTGGTGTTGCATGGGCTTGGAGATGATGCGGATGCTGTGTGGAATCCAGACAACGATGATTACCTTGAGTTCAAGAGGAACTGGTACACCCAACTGCAGGTCTTCTGGGTGTACCCAAGTATGCTCTATCGCTGATGGCAAGTGATGGATGAACTCCGTCAGCTTGTGCTGAAACTTCACCTCAAATTTCCTTAGAGAACATAAGCTCGCATTTACAATGGATAATGTCCATTATGGTAGACGAGAGTTCTTAGACTTGGAGTTTCCATTCAGTTTTTTTTTATAAGTCTGGGGGAGAGAATCCCCCACCTGATTGATAGCCTGAGAGTTTACAAATCGGGTTCTCTTTCCATTCAGTTATCAGTTGTGTCCCGTTGCTACTTGTTATCTTTTGCACTAGTTATGACTTATGAACTTGTTAGCTATTCTGGAAATCCTGGAAGGCTGGATACTGTTATTTTAATGAGTAGTAGAGAAACGTTTCTAATATGTCTGAGTTTCCTCTGTCCATGTAAAATGTGAAGATGCAATTGCTTGTGTGTATGCGGGCATCTGGTTGCTGCCTTGTCCTTTGTTTGCTATATGCTACGCAAGCTATTTGTCTAAAGGGAAAATAAAGGTTGTCGTATGCACACTGGTCATGAAGCAGAAATCCAAATGTGTATAAGTATTGTCTTCAGCCACTTTCGTTTCATAGATTTCAGGGCATAGATTTTGACAGTTAGAATCTGAATTACACGAGCTAAACAAATAAACGATAGAAAATGAATTTGGAAAGAAATAGTCCCTATGAACAACAAGCACAACACTGATACCCTGTGAACAACCCTACCCCTACGAGCATCGACGAATGATTTAGCTGACGCTTCATAAAAAATGATTATCTGACAGATTTTGAAATTGAATTAAATCATGAAATAATTCCATGAAAATGCAAAAAAATGAATTTAGCGAACAAAACTAAAATCACCATGCCTTTTGGAACAGAGATGGTAGCTCTTAAAAACTATTTTATACTTTTCGTTGAGAGACCTCTAATCTGTTCACCTGGCCCAGGATGTCGAAACGCATACGCGGCGGCGTAGAGACGAGTCATCAAGCTCCAAGGCGGTGCCGGACTGCCTGAGGAGGCCCTCGCCACCGCACCGCCACCTTTCAACTGTCGGCGATCAGCTGCACGCTGCTCATCGAACTCATCATAACAGAAAATGAGTTATTTGCCAATGTGTAGAACGTACTGTCGGGGAAATTATTTTCGGAAACGCTCCAATCCGAGCGTCCGACGCTCCCAGAAATATCGAACGAACACAAGGCTCATATCAATCACTCATTCTCTACGTTAATTCTTATCCACTCATTTCTCAGCCTCTACCGGCACTGTCTCCTACTCTGCCTCTTCTTCAGACTCCAGTCCGCCCGCCCCACTCCGTCCTGCTGCTCCCCCTTCCCCACCATGCCCTGCACCTCGCTGCACTGTGCACTTCCCCCAACCGTGATGCACCCCATCGCCGGCTGCACCGCGCCCCATCCACCTCGCCCCTCGCGACTACGGCATCATCGAGCCACCACCAACCCAACGCCACCAACAGCAGGTCATCGCTGGCTGGGACATCATCTCCTACGGCCAGCCAAAGACACCACGTGTCGGGGTAATGATACCCCGGGTATCTCAAGTCATCGATTAGTTGGTAGGCCGAATACGCCAGCAGTATAAGACCAAACGACCGAGGCCCAATTATACTGCGAAGGACAGGCCAAGTGACGACACCAAGGCCTGCCACGACCTCTCCCCCTGTCTTGGCCACGCACCGAGGCAACAGCTCGCGATCTCTCCACCATGACCTCTAGGAGAGACGAAAAGTGACCAAGTCCCGCCAGGAGTACCAACTCTGACACGAGCAGGCATGCCGCACTGACCTCACAAGGACCGAGGGGACAATGGTCACCTTGGTCTGGTCAGACGCCATCTCTGTCACGCCGCAGGGAAAAGACAATACCACCCAAGCGGTAACGGCCGGCACGACAACTCACCGTCCACGTACGGCTTGACGAGATACATGTACGATTCCACCCACTACGGGATGGGAACCACGATGGAGGCCTTGACTTAGAGGCTACCCAAGTGAAAGCCCTAGTTTGGTTTTGGTTAATTGATAAAACCTAGGACTAACCTTTGATCTAAGTGTGTGAATTGGATAAGGTGGTCTAACCCAAGCGGTGAAGCTAGAAGATGGTCATGGTGAAGGTGATGGCCACAAAAGAGATGATCAAGTGCTTCACATTTGGAAAAGAAGAAAGAGAAAAACAAAAATGGGATCAAGGCAAAGGTATAATAATAGGAGCCATTTTTGGTTTGCACTCAAGACACCATATAGGGTGTGAGTGATTTAGGATCGATAGCCGTACTATAAAAAGAGAAAATCTTTGGCTAAATGGTTTATCGAGTGCCACTAGGTGACATGATTCTTGCATATGCATTTAGGAACCTAGTGTGCTAACTTTAACCCTTGTAAAATGCTTTAAAAAATACTAACACACGTGCACACAAGTTCTATACTTTGTGATTAGCAAGATAGAAGCAAGGGCGAAGTGATTGTGGACATAGAAAAATAAAAGGAGCTAAAAGTCCATGACTGGACGCTGGCCGCGGGGTGACCGGACTCACCCTGGTGCGTCCGATCATTTATAGTGAGGTGACGCAGCATTGGCCCAGAGCACAGGGAACATGATCGGACGTTGGACCTGACGCGGGGTCACATCCGGTCACGCACAGCAGTGGATGCGCAGCGCTCAGTGGCGCGATCGGACGCAGGAGCAATGAAGCGACCCTACGCGTAGGAGTAAAGCAAATATGTTGACGTATGCTGATGTCGTGCGCGCAGAGAGGAGGCCAGTGGAGACCGGATGTCGGGGTGCGTCAGATCACGTTCGATAGGGCGCGCCTGGTCAGCTTTTATCGGCTCTGGAACCTTTCTGGTGTCGATCTAACACTGAGAGGTTTGGAGTTCGGTCACTAGAGCGGCGCGTACCGGTCACTCGTTGACTATGGCGTTGAACGTTAAGTGACCGTTGGGATCCAATGGCTAAGGTTTGAATGAGGACACGTGGCAACCATCGGTGTGACTAGATGCTAGGCGACCGGACACTAGGCTAAGTCCGGTTAGTGCATTCAGTTAGCCCGAGAGTGCCCAACGGCTCTTTGAGTCTTGGGCTCTATAAATAGGAAGGTACCGGCTTGGGGCTCACTATCTTGGCACTTTGACATACTTGACATCCTTGTGAGCCTAAGCAAATACCTCTCACTCATCTCCATCATTGATTTATCATCATAGTGAGATTAAAAGTGATTCCAAGTGCATTTGCTTGAGTGATTGCATCTAGTGGCATTTGGGGATTGTTATGGCTGCGGATTTCTTATTTCTCTTGGTGGTTGCCACCACCTAGATGGCTTGGAGCAGCGGAGGAGCTTTGGCACATGTTGGTGATTGTTCGTGGCCGGCTCTGGTGATTGTGAGGGGTCTTGCACCTTCCCCGGCGAAGAGCCACAAGGTAGCTCTAGTAAATTGCTCATGTCATTGAGTTACCTCCCTTATGGGTAGGTTCTTGCAGCATCTCTTGTGGTGGGCTAGGTGTGTGATACCTATTAGCCACCGAACTACCAAGTGTTGGTCGATACAATGGGGACTAGAGTGCTAGTAAGCACGTGAACCTCGGGAGAAAATTGATGTGTAACTTGTCTCTTGGATTTCTCCCAGTGATTGATTGGTATTCAACTTGTGATTGGTTCATCCCTCGACGCGGAGGTATAATCACCTAATCTCTCCTTTACTTTCCCCCAAACTAGTTGTCAAGCTCTTTAGTGTAGCTAGTCTTTAAGAGCTTGTTAGTTTGGTTAGTGTGGCTCTTTAGTTAGCCCGTGAGAGCAAACTAGCTTAGTGAGCAGTGACTTAGCCATTGTGTGTGTTAGTGATCATAGCAACTAGAATTGTTGGGATAGGTGGATTGTAACCCTTGTAGAGCTAGAGCAAAATTGCATTATGTCATTTGTCTTACTAATCAATTTGCCTTAGTGCTTTGTAGAATTTTAAATAGGCTATTCACCCCCTCTAGCCATATTAGGGCCTTTCAAGTGGTATCGGAGCCATGGTCACCGTTTGATTGAAGGCTTAACAACCTCGGTATCAAAAAGATGGCTTAAGTTGTGTTCAATCATGTGCGGGGCAAACAACCATTCTTTGATGGCACATGCTATGATTATTGGAAGCGAAAGATGAAGATGTATCTTGGTTCATTCAATGATCAAGTGTGGGATGTGACTGAGAATGACTTTGCAATTATTGATCCCACCAATCTCACCAACCAAGACAAGGCAAACAAGCAATGCAATACAATGGTTCTCAACACCATCTACAATGCTATTGATTCAAAAGTGTTTGAGCAAATCAAGGATCTTGATAGAGCTAGTGAGGTGTGGAAGAGATTGAAGGAGACCTATGAGGGCACACCGGCGATGAAGAGTGCCAAGCTATACATTCTCAAGGACAAGTTGACAAGCTTCAAGATGAAAGATGATGAGAGCATTCCGGAGATGTACCATACATTGCAAGTGATTGTCAATGTCTTGAAGGCCTTGGGAGAGAAGATCAAAGTTGATGATGTGTCTCATCAGTTCTTGATGTGCTTACCTCCAAGATTTGAGATTGCTCATCATAAGAGGAGGATTGAAGGAGCTTACCCCTAACCAAGTACTAGGTGATATCATGACACAAGAGACATACCATGTGGAAAGGGAAGGGTTGACAAAGATGAGAAGAAGGAAGATGAAGACAAGAAGAAGAAGAAGAAGAAGAGTGTAGCATTCAAGGCTAGCTCATCATCCAAGAACAAGGGCAAGTCCAAGAAAGAATCAAGTGATGATGAAGATGCTAGTGACATTGATGATGAGGTCATGGCTCTTTTTGTGTGCAAGTTTGGAAGATTCATGAAGAAAAAGGGCTATGGTGCTAGAAAGAGAAGAGACAACAAGAGCAAAGAATATGTAAGAAGATGCTACGATTGCAAGAGCCCAGATCATGTTGTAGAGGATTGTCCCTGCAATAGTGACAATGATGAGGATGAGAAGAAGAAGAAAAAGG